CCCACCCACCCCACCTGCGCAGCCCCCATTTCCTGCCCAGTTTGACCCCAGCAGCAGCCCTGCCCTGGGCCCGCCTCGGGCGTCTCTGGCTTGGAGCAGGACTGGCCACGTCCTGCTCGTCTGAGCCGCAGCTCCTGCAGGACAGTGCAGCTCCGCCCTGGCCCCTGCTTGTTCAGGTGGTTCTCCACCTGTTAGCCTCCCGGCTGACTTGGCAGCAAACCGACACTGAGGGAAGCTGGCGTTTCCGTCGTGGCTCTGGGGCGGCCCCAGTGGCCACAGCCACGCCTGCCAGCTCTCCTGCACAGTGAAACCGCCCTTTTTGATTTGGCGTTATCTGTAGTTTCTAAAAGTGTAAAATCAGAAGCTGACAACCCAAAGCCGCCCCGATGCAGCCCTTCCTCATCCCTCATGTTCATTAGCTCAGACGTCACCCGCCCGCCGCCCTGCGAGGGGCCGGAGTGTGAGGTGAGGCTGGGGCGGAGGGCGCAGTGGAACGGACCCTCCTTCGACTCACCCAACTCGCATCCTCTCCGACACGCTAACGGACCTGTCTTCTCTGCTTCCTCCCGCCCCCCCCGCCTGTGGACCCTCTGCCTCTGCCCCGGGCCGGGCGCAGTGGGCGCATCACTTACAGTGACATGTTTGAGATGCTGAAACACATGTCCCCGCCCCTGGGGCTGGGGAAGAAATGCCCTGCTCGAGTGGCGTACAAGGTAGACCCCGACCCTGCTCCGAGGCTTGTCCGTCTGTCTGTCTGCCACTCTGCTGTCTCACTGTTTCTCTTCTCTGCCCCAGCCATCTTTGCTTCCTTCCCAGACAGAGGGACACGGACACCCGATGGTATCTCTGCACCACCCCTTGTCCCCCAGGGCTGCCCCCAAAAGTCCCCCTGGAGGCTCAGGAAGACAGAGACAGAGCCATCCCCCCCCTCCTCCCTCCTCCCTCCTCCCTAGAATGAGGACAACACTCGCTTTTCTGAGAGAGACCTTGTTCTGGGCTCAGTTCCACACTCGGCTCCTTGGTTCCTCACCCTCCGGTCTGACCAGGGGGGAGGGGCCTGGGGGAGGTGCATGTGAGGAAGCCCCCCAGGTCCCCACCTGCAGAATGTCCCGGGCTGGCTGCAGGGGCCTGGGAAGGAAGTGTGTGTGCTGGGCCTTGTGGGCCCACGGTGGCACAGAGGAGGGAGGGTGCCAGGAAGAGGTATCCTGCAGGGTTCACTGCCAGGCCAGCAGAGTCCCAGGGCCTAGGTGGCCCTGTGACCATCCCCCCACCTCCCAGTTGCTGAGGATGCAGTTGGCTGAGCTGCAGGAAGGAGTAAACTGAGGAACACATGGTCCAGCCCCAAGCCTGCTCCCCCACCCCCGCCATGCATCCTGACCCCCTCATGTTCCTCCAGGTCCCACCAAGAGCCCTCCCAGCCCAGTGTCCAGCACACAGCCAGCCTGTGTCTGGAGCCTCCTGCGTCTCCCTCTCTCTGAGAGTTTCCCACCAGAGCTTCCATCTGTCTGGTCTGTCCATGCTGTCTGTCTGTCTCTGTGCTCTGGTTCTGGATCTGTCTGTCCCCTGGCTCAACATAGTCCCCCAACCCCCCACCCCCACCTGGTGTGAGTGTAGTGCCTGCCTAGAAGCCCCGCATGCAAGACCGTGGCTTTGTCCCCGAGAAGAGAGCTCTGTCCACAATGACACTGGGGCCAGGGTGGGCCACAGGGTAGGTGGGGTGGATTGGGCAGGTGGCAGGAGATGGCCGGAGTGCTGTGGCCAGAGGGTCTAGGCCCAGAGTAGAAAGGCCTGTCTGTCTGTTTGTCCTGGCCCACCCCCTCTGTTGCTCCTGAGATGCCAGGCCCTCAAGGGGAAGGTGCCCTGGACGGAGCCCTCCTCTCTTGGGAACCTCCTGCTTTGCTCCTTTATGGTTCCCTGACTCCCCAAGTCCCTGGAGAGGAGCCCCCTGCCTCTCTCTGCTACTGATGCCAGTCTCAGGGAGGCTGTGTCACACACAGGTGACCTATGAGCTCCTGGGACCGTGGTCAATGTGCCACGTGGGGCTTTGCCAGCATTCAGGGGACAGGGTCTGGGTTCATACCTCTGGCCTCCCGACCTCCATCAGGCAGGGGATTAAATTCGGAGCTAGGACTCAGGGCAGTGCTGGGGGCAGAGGGCCGTCCCCTCATAGGCTACAGGCTGGGCAGAGGACCCCCAAACCCGGGAGGGCCCTGTGCCCGTCTCTAGCCCCCCTTCTGTGGAAGGAGACCAGAGGCTGCTGGGTAAGGACAGGTGGGTCCCAGTGCCCTCCATGCTCAGGACACAGCACACACCTGAGACCCTCTTCCTCCTGGAGGGCACGTCAGTCCTTAGAGCCTCGGGCGCTGCAAGCTGCTGGCTATGCCCAGGGGGGTGAGTACCAGACAGCTGCTCTGTCCTCAGAAACTGAAAAGAGGAAAGGGGACCCCGCATCTGATGGGAACTAGCCATCTGGTCTGGAGCACTTGTGTCCCTGCAGCATGGCCCTGAGCCTCTCCCGGCCATCCCCGTGCTGGCTGAGCCCAGGGCCTGTGCAGCCCCAGCTCTTTGGGGTCTTTCCACTAGAGCTGGTCTCTGAGTCTCCAGGCTGCCCCCGGTGAGTGGCGCTGGGTCTCTTCCACACCCCCTAGAGACAGAAGCCTTCCTGGGGCTGAGGGATGCCTTCCTGCGAGCCGTGCTCCCGGCTACGCGACCCCCTGTCCCGTGCTCCTTGTTGTGATGGAAGAGATGAGGTTGGACTTGGGAGTAAGGACAGGATCTTCCCTCCCGTCCATGGGTTGTCCCAGGGCCCAGCCTTGGTCCTGCAGCCCAGATCCTTCCCCTCAGGCTGGGCCATGCACCCTCATCCCTGCCCCGGGCAGCAGGCAGGGGGTCCTCTGGCTGAGGAGGCGCCTATTCGTTCAGGGTGAGTCAGGCTTCAGCCAGCCCTAGGGTATAGTCTTTACCTGGACTTCTACTTTCTGCAGCCAGGAGAATCCTCAGCTCACATGAGGGCAGGGGTCCAGGGGCTTGTGGGAATGCTGGCAAAACCTCCATCTACCCAACCTCTTTTTGTCCCTGGCACCTGCAGGGGTCACCTCCAGGGGCCTCCAGCACTGAGTGGCTGTGGGTGCAGGGGACCTCTGGAGGCCTGGCCCTGACCTGCCCCCCTGTTCCCAGCGCCTGGTTCGCATGAACATGCCCATCTCCAATGAGGATATGACCGTCCATTTCACGTCCACACTGATGGCCCTCATCCGGACTGCACTGGAGATCAAGCTGGCTCCAGGTGAGTGAGGTCATCTTGGGAAGGGCACCAGGCCAGGGCGGCACAGCTGCCCTTGAGAGCCACCCGGGCAGCTGTGCAGGAAGGGGTTGTGGAGCCTGTCTGGAGAGACTGAATTTGTCCCCTGATAGCCGTCCTGCACATTAGCCCTGTAACGCCCCCTCTTTATATAAGGAAACTGAGGCACATGAGAATAAATGCCCTGTCCTGTTACCAAGTGCTGCTGAGTGTTGGAGCTGGAGCGCCGCCTGCTCCTGCCCCTCCCTAGAGAGCTCAGTCCTCCCTGGGGCCCTGACTTGAGGAGAGGGCCACGTAGCCTGCTCCAGGTCAAGGAGAGAGGAGCCCTCAGCAGGTCCTCCCACCCTGACACTCACATGATGACAGCGTCCCCTTCCCAGAGAAAGTCAGTCACCGCAGGGACCTGTGCCATCACCACCCACCCACACCCCTCCCTGCATCTCTCCCTGGAGCTCGGCTGACTGTCCCTGATGGGTGAGGCCAGGCCAGCCCCGCCTCCCACACTAGGGCCTGTTCTCATTACCTAACCGGGTCTTACCCGGTCTCTCCACGGGAGTATTTGTATTGATGTATAAACATAGTGTTATTTCTCCCACTTTTAAAAATCCTTCTCTTCTCCCTCCACCAACTTCCCTGTTTTTCTTCCTTCAAAGCAAACAGCTTGAGAGTCTGGCGTGTACTGTCCCTGATTTCTTGTCCCCCGTCTCCTGTCAGGCGGCCCCCGCAGCACACCCTGGAACTGCTCTCAGAGGTCTCAGCCCTGACCTCAGGCCTCGCTGCAGCCTCTTCTCCACTCTCATGCCCTTCTCTTCAGAACCTGTTGTTGGGGTTTTTTCTAGCTTATTTCACAGTCTCTGACTGCTGTCTTTGTCATCTCCATCTATTCCCATGGCTTAAATACTGTGAATTCCAACTTCGTGGTGTTAGTCCGGGCCTCCTGCTGAACTCTCGCCTGTGTATCCCACAGGTTACTTACCATCTGCACTTGGGGGCCCAGTAAGCTTCCCAGAGTTCACTTGCTCGGACTTGAGCTCCAGATAGTCCCCGGTCTTCCCGCCTCATCAGTGCAAACTGTTCTTCCAGTGGCTCAGGGCAAACACCCTGGCATTATAGCTCTTTTTGCCTCACCCCATTTCTTTTCTGGTCAGTGTCTTATCTCTTATCTTCGACTCTGCCTTCACAATACAGCCAGAATAGGATCCTCCTCCTACCCTCTCCCAGTGCCACCTCCTGCTCCAAGCTGCTCTCTGTGCTTGTTCTCAGTCTCCCTTTAACACAACAGCCAGAATGATCAAGTTGAAAATTAAACCAATAAAATGAACAAACCTCTAGCTATACTGATCACAACAAGAAGAAGATAGAAATAACCAGTGTCAGCAATGAAAGTGGAAACGTCACTACAGGTCCTGCCAACACTAACTGGGCAACAATTTTATGAACAACTTTATGTCAAAAACTTAAACAACTTAAATGGAAAAATTGTTTGACACAATTATCAAGCATATTCAAAAATAGATGACCTAAAAAAATAGATAACCTGAGTAGTACTATATTTATTAAAGAAATTAAATTCATAGTTAAAAGTCTTCTAACAAAATCTCAGGCCCAGTTAGTTCCACTGGTGAAGTCTGCCAAACATTTAAGGGGGAAATAATTCCAATTCCATACAGACCCTTCCAGAAAATAGAAGGAGAGAGGATGTTTTTCAACTTAATTTTACAAGGCCAGCATTACTTGATATCAAAACCGAACAAAGACATTACGAAAAAATTGCAGACCCACATTTCTCATGAATATAGACACAAAAATCTGTAATACAAAATAGCAAACTCAGTCTAGCCCCACACACACACTGAATAATACAATGTAGCAAACTCAATCTAGCCACACACACACACACTGAATAATACAATGTAGCAAATTCAGTCTAGCCACACACACACTGAATACATGATGCCCTGGCCAGTGTGGTTCAGTGGTTAGAATTTCAGCCTGTGGACTGAAGGGTCCTGGGCTTGATTCTGGCCAAGGGCACATACCTCGGTTGCAGGCTCCATTCCTGGCCAGGGAGTGTGTGTGTGTCTCTCACATTAATGTTTTNTTATCAAGCATATTCAAAAATAGATGACCTAAAAAAATAGATAACCTGAGTAGTACTATATTTATTAAAGAAATTAAATTCATAGTTAAAAGTCTTCTAACAAAATCTCAGGCCCAGTTAGTTCCACTGGTGAAGTCTGCCAAACATTTAAGGGGGAAATAATTCCAATTCCATACAGACCCTTCCAGAAAATAGAAGGAGAGAGGATGTTTTTCAACTTAATTTTACAAGGCCAGCATTACTTGATATCAAAACCGAACAAAGACATTACGAAAAAATTGCAGACCCACATTTCTCATGAATATAGACACAAAAATCTGTAATACAAAATAGCAAACTCAGTCTAGCCCCACACACACACTGAATAATACAATGTAGCAAACTCAATCTAGCCACACACACACACACTGAATAATACAATGTAGCAAATTCAGTCTAGCCACACACACACTGAATACATGATGCCCTGGCCAGTGTGGTTCAGTGGTTAGAATTTCAGCCTGTGGACTGAAGGGTCCTGGGCTTGATTCTGGCCAAGGGCACATACCTCGGTTGCAGGCTCCATTCCTGGCCAGGGAGTGTGTGTGTCTCTCTCACATTAATGTTTTTCTTTCTCTCTCTTCCACTCTCTCTGAAAAGCAATGGAAAAAATATCCTCAGGTGAGAATTTAAAAATAAAAATAATAAAAAGTAGGGTTTATTTCAGGAACGCATTTTGGTTCATGTTTAAAAATCAATATAATTTAATACATCAAAAAAGGAAAACTGTATAATCACCTCAATTGATGCATAAAAAGCATTTGACAAAATTCAATGAACATTTTTTATTTTAAAAATTCTACATAAATGAGAATTCAAGAAAACTCTCTCAATCTGATAAAAGGCAAATGTCGAAACATTGGCTTAAGTACTTGAAGACCTAAATCAAGCACGATATTGTATCCATGCATTAGAAGACTCAATATTGTTAGGATGTCGATTCTTCTCATATCGACCAACAGAATTCATGTTACTCCATTCAAAATCAAAATGGACCTTTTGGGTAGAAACTTACAAACCAATTCTAAAACATATGTAGAAAAGCAAAAGAACTTGATTAACAAAAACAATATTGAAAACAGCAGAGTTGGACAAATCACCCTCCCTGAGTCAAAGACTTCCTGAGCTGCACTGGTCGAGACACGTGGTACTGGTGACGAGCTGGAGACATAGTCAGTGGAGCAACAGACTTGAGAAGGACTCACCTTATATAGTCATTCAGTTTTCAGTGTTGTTGCAAAGGCAGTTAATGGAGAAAAGATCATCTTGCTAACACATGGTACTGGAGAAATTAGATAAGCAAAGATTATCTTAAGATACAAAAAGCATGAGCCATAAAAGAAAAAACACTGATAAATTGAACTTTATCAAATTAAAAACTTTTGCTTCTCGAAACATATTTAACAAAATGAGGACAGGTCAGAGAGTTGGAGAAAATATTTGTGAAACACACATGGATATAGGATTGATTTCCAGATTACGTAAAGATGTCTTACAACTTGGCGATGAGAAAATAACCCAATAAAAATAAAAATAGGCAAGTGACTTGAACAGACAGGTAGCCAAGGAAGATACGGGGGTGACTAATAAACACATGTAAAGATGCTCAACATCGTCAATGGGCAGAGAGATGAAAAAGGGTGAAGTGAAATGTGCACAAAGCCCACACGCGAAAGTCTGTGGCTTTACTCATAATGGCCCCAAACTGTGAACACATCAGACATCCATCCAATGAGCGGGTGACCTGTGGCCTGTCCACACGAGGAGCGAGCACTCAGCAGTAAGCAGGCAGATGCTGGGAGACTGGCATGGGAAGGTGAGACCCGCAGGCCAGCTCCCGGTGCAGGGCCATTTGTATGGCATTCCAGACATGGCCCACGGCGGAGGCAGGCAGTGCGCCAGGGGTGGCCGGGGAGGGGTGCAGGGGACTCTGGCAGTGGTGCTGTGCCTCGTGTCTTGGTTGTGGTGGTGGATACACGGCCTTGAGCATTTACCAAAATTCATGGGATGGGTAACACCTTAGAAACCTGGTGTAGGCAGAGACTTCATCCTGCTGCTCTGTCAGCACCTGCACCCCTCCCCCTGCCCCAGCGCTGCCTTCAGCTCCTGTGTGCACCTCAAGTGGTTCCTTGCAGTTTTCAGGGTCTTAGTGCACACGCCACTTTCTCATGAGACCGCTCCTGGCCCCCTGTCCAGACCGCAACCTTCCCGTACTCTCATCCCTCCCCGCTTGGCTTCCCCTCTGTCCAACATGCTGGATTTTTTTACTTATCTCCACGTAATTGTGGACTAAAGTCCTGTTCCTCCAAGGGCCAGTTCCCTGGTTTTGTTCCATCACTGGTGACAGCCCCTGACATTTGGTGGGTGCTGAGTGGACGGATGAGTGTCAGGAGCATCACCACACCCCTCCCCATTCCCAGTGCCACCCCTTCTCCCACCACGTGCACATGCATGCACACCCATGAGTTCCCAGCAGGAACATCTCTGACCAGCCCCCACAGCACCTTCTTCCCAGCACTGTCTCTGCCCCGACTCCCCCCCACCATGCCTCTCTTGCCTACCCACCTCTGCCCATTCCCCAGGGGGCTATAGGGTCGCTCCTAACCCCTCTCCCTTTCCACCCTGTGCTGCCCCAGCCGGCACGAAGCAGCACCAGTGTGATGCAGAACTGAGGAAGGAGATTTCCTGTGTGTGGGCCAATCTTCCCCAGAAGACTCTGGACTTGTTGGTGCCGCCCCACAAACGTAAGTGAGGGGAGACGTCTGCTGTGTCCCACCCAGAGGCAGAGCAGGGACCTTGGAGAGGTGGAGCCGGTGCGCAGGTGTCGTGGAGAAGGCCATCCACACTCCTAGTGTGTGGAATTCACTTCAAAAAATCCAAAGAAAAGGTAGCAGGACGCCAGTTAGAGATGCCCTGAAAAATGAGGTGCTGAAGGTTAAATTCTGACTCCACTTTGTGGGAGGAGCTCCCCCCCAAGCAGAGGGAACTGGTTCCTGTCTGGAGGCACTGCTGGGGGGGCCTTTTGGCCAAGCCACATGCCCTGCCTAAGCGTGTTCAGTAGTCCCCGGGCAGGGCCTGTTTCCTCACCAGGCTCCACCCTTGCTCTGTGGCTCCTCCATCCTGTCTCCTCCAAGCTCTAGCCCCTATTTTTTCTCCCTGCTGCTCTCTCCAGCTGACGAGATGACGGTGGGGAAGGTCTACGCAGCTCTGATGATCTTCGACTTCTACAAACAGAGCAAGACCAGCAGAGACCAGACCCACCAAGCTCCTGGAGGCCTGTCCCAGGTACCGGCTCTGGGACTTCCAGGGCGCAGCTGACGGTGGCCGCAGGAAAGGCCATGGGGAAGGGAAGGCAGAGTCTTAAAACCTGATGCAGCCTTTAGCTGGCTGCGGGGTGGTTTTGTGAAGCCCCTGACGGGGTGCTTGTGTTCAGGGCAGAAGAGAAGAGGGCTGGGAGCAGAGGCCCGGGCAAGAGCACAGTTTTGAGTGGTGGAAAAGATGCTCACCCAGGCACAGGCAGGGGCCAGAGAGGTTCAAACTGAGGGCCCAGGGACACCGTCTGTTCCCCTTGCGATTTGGTGAATTGGGCCATCTTCCTGATGTCACCCTTGAAGGTGACGACCTCCTCACAGCTGAACCTTCCGTGGCCACCTGTAGGTTCTGTCTAGAAAGCTGCCTTGTGCTCAGAGCTTACAGGGGCATCACCCACCGGGGAGGGCAAGTGGCTGGCCCCTCCCTGTCTGTCGCAGACGTCCCACCAAGCCCCGAAATCTCCCCAGAATTCTCAGCCGGGGCTCCAGCAGCCCCTGCCAGTGGGTTCACGGTGATGAGGTGAACTGCCGTCTGTAATCTGCTTCAGCCCCCGGACTTTGTAGGTGGGGAGACGGAGGATCCAAGAAGTAAAATTACTTCCCTGGAGTCACTCAGACCCCATGGGGAGCAGGTCCCTGCCCGCCCGTAGGTGGGGATGAGGGTGCAGCGGACAGACCTCACCCCACGCGAGCTGCCCCGTCCCACGGGTCCCGAGGTGCTGTGGTGCTGGGCGTCTGTGGGGCACCCCAGCCCTCAGAGCTCGTCTCCCCTGCATCCCTTCTGTAGATGGGCCCGGTGTCCCTGTTTCACCCTCTGAAGGCTACACTGGAGCAGACGCAGCCGGCTGTGCTCCGAGGAGCCCGGGTTTTTCTTCAGCAGAAGAGCTCAGCCTCCCTGAGCAATGGCGGGGCCGTGTGAGTGCTGGGCGGGGCCGGGAGGGTCCGTGTGAGTGCTGGGCGGGGCCGGGGCAGGGCCGGGGAGAGGCCCTGTGGGCAGAGCCTAGAGAGGGTGGGCGGGGCT